ATGTTGGAAGCAAGGATATTATAGTTTTGAATTTTTAAATTAGTTTTTATTTTAATATCGTTTTCAAATTTCCTATAATTTCAGTTTAGTTTTAGTTTCATTAATGGTTTTGTTAGTTTTAGTTTAGTTTTTATTTTGTGAACTCATTACTATTTAGTTTTTATATATTTTAGTTTATCACATGCTGTTTGGTATCGGGGCATTTTAACGAGTACGAGTACAGGAGGCCAGTATCGGGCCCGATACCGATACCAGTATCGGTATCGGTGCATCCCTAAATTATAGTTTAGCAGAGTTAATGGAACAGTTCCAGTGAAGACCAAAGCAAGACATTTAATTTTAGAAAAGTGGAATGTTTGGACCGTTTATAGTTAACTCTAGTGCGAACCTCTTAATAATGAAAATAAAATAATTCTTTACAATTGAACAAAAACCAAAAATATGCAACTTATATGTATAAAATGTATTCATTCATATGCATGTTCATATTCATTCATATTAAAGATGTAATCTTGTTAAACATGCCAATAGTTTACAAACAACAAGCTAATCAAGGTTTTCAGAGTTAGGCCTACTAGAAAGCTACAGGCAGTTGAGTTCAGGGTTCAGTATCAGGGTTGGAGCTAAATTCTGCAGGACAATGACCCTCCAGTGCTGGATCTGAGGAAACCTGTTTTCTAATCGTCATTGAAACTTAATAAATAAACTTTATTTTTGTAATTTAAATGATGTTTGCACTTTACTTTGACGAGCTGCTCCAGCGAGCACGTGCTTTAGATGAGCAACGCAATCAATCTCAGTTCTAAAGCCCCTTTTTTACAGGACACTGCAAGTCGTGAAATCACCACGCGGCTGCCGTTTTTTCTCATTTTAATGCGTTTTGTACAGTCTATATAAATAAAGGTGACTTGACTTGACTCATCCAAAAATGTTAATTCTGTTAACACTCATGTTGTTCTCGCACGTCAAGCACACTTTTAAACGTCCGTGAGCTGTAAGATGTGCATTACTATTATTATTATTTCCCATTTCATATTTTAGTTATTTCTCATATCATTGCCAGCGTCTTGTTTTTTAAATGCAAAAATGCATTCTCTGTGAATAGCCGCTTAGGACTCCGCTCACGTGAATGAAACGCCATCTACAGGTATTTCCCTAAACAACCACAGGTCAGATTTTCTGGCACAGAATGAGAGCTTATTAAATCACGAACACGATTATTTATTTTTGCTAATTATTATTTTATTTTAGTTCGTTTTTCAGTAACTGTTGTTAGTTTAGTTTAGTTTGAGTTTTTCATGTATTTAGAAATTTGAATTTTATTTCAGTTTCAGTTTTCGTTTTCCGAAAATACCTTGGTTGGAAGGTGAACCTTCGGCCCAGTCTGAGGTCCTGAGTGCTGTGGAACAGTTTTCATTGAGGATTTCTCTGTACTTTGCTCCATTCAGCTTTCCTTCAACCCTGACCAGTCTCCCAGCTCCTGCCGCTGAAGAACACCCCTCAGCATGAGGCTGCTACCAGCACACTTTACTTTTGGGATGGTACTCTGCAGGTGATGAGCCGAACTGGCTTCCTTCAAACATGATGCTTGTTTCTCAGAGTCTGAGGGTCCTTTAGGTGCTGTTTTGCAAATTCAAAGTGTGTTTTCATGTGTCTTCACTGAGGAAAGGATTGAGTTTGGCCACACTGCCATAAAGCCCAGACAAGTGGAGTGTTGCAGTGATGTTTGTCTTTCTGTAGGTTTCTCCCATCTGCATACATGATCATGGAGCTCAACTAAAGTGACCATCAGGTTTTTGGTCACCAGTCTAGACAAGGCCCTTCTCCATCAATTGCTCAGTTTGGCTGGGCGACCAGCTCTTGGAAGAGTCCTGGTTGTGCCAAACTTCTTCCATTTGAGAATTATGGAATTACATGCTTCTATGACCCTTCAGTGAAGCAGAATTTGTTTCTGAAATCTTCCCCAGATGTGTGGCTTGACACAAACCTGTTTCTGAGCTCTACAGGCAGTTCTTTTG